CAGTGAAATTTCTATACATAAGAGCAAAATATAGACAACCAGGGAAAGATCCAGAGGGGGTGCAGTGGTGCTGACTCACTCCCTTTCAGACTGTACTGTGGAATCAGCAGCAAGGGCTTTTTTTTTTTTTAGAAGTCTCAAGTCCGGTAAGAAACCCATCCCCCTGCCTCATCTCCCACTCTTGATACCCCCTCCCTTCCCCTCCATCCTCAACAGCACAACCCCTCCCCTCCTATTTACCCCCTCCCCTGCCTGCTGCTGCCACTGTCCCCAGCTGAGGCTCCAGAGCCACTCCTGCCCAGCTCCAGCCAGGAACAGTGGCAGCAGTGGGCAGGTTTCTCTTCTGTCCTGTCCCCGCAATGTTCCCTGCATCCAAGCACAAGCATGGGGCAAGAGAACCTTCCCACTGCAGAGCCTGGATGCAGTGACTCTGGAGCCCCTCCCCCCTGTGAAATGAACTGGGGGAGTTGTGCTTTTGGACAGTTGTGGGGGAAAGGGTTCGAGAGCTGTTGCAGCCAAGCTCAACAGGGGACAGCAGCAGCATTGGGCAGGTTCCCCAACTCTGTGCTTGAGAGGTGGAACCCATCTGCTACTGCAGCTGCTGTTCCCTGATGAGCCCGACTGGAGCAGGGCAGGAGTGGTCTGGAGACTCCCTCTATTGCCACCCCCATGAGCTAGGAACAGTAGTGGGTAGGAGAGAGGCAATTGGAAGGGGAGGGGAAGGGAAGGGAGGGGAGAGAAGGGGAGGGGGTGTACTGTTGAGGATGGAGAAGAAGGGAGGGTGGGGGCGAGAGCTGAGGGGAAGAGTAGGGGGGACAGGATTCTTACTTGATCTGGGGACTTGCAAAAAAAGTTTCTGCTGCTGCTCCTGTGGCATGAACTGCCTGCCTGAGGTTTGAGGCAAGCTGGGAGCAGGGGTGCAGCTACCCCTGAAGTGCCCGTCACTGCTCCCATACCCCCACTTCACAGAATCCTGGATCCATCCCTACAGATAGTGGTAGTGCTAGCTATATTTCTTACTACTCCTGGAATGGCTATGGTGCAACTTGCTGTATTATCATAATGCTATGTGACATTGTATGACTGACCCTCAATGAGAAGGAACAAGAAATACTAGAAATACTTTAAATAAAATTACCTATTTCTTCACGGGATGCCTGAAGAGCCCTACACCCAAACATGTGGTTTGGTTCGCTCTCATACCTTTAGACACGTTGTACCCGTATGCTGCATATGCTGCTGCAGAGGCTGCTGCTGCCCCAGCTTTGGCGCCTGCCATTGCAGCCGCACTTCCTGCTGTTGACTTCCGGCTTCGGCCTTTCCCTGTGGCTTTCGACCCACTGCCTGAACCTTTAGGGCGACCCCGGCTTCTACCTGAATGGCCTCTTCCTGTGATAGACATATCTTGCATTGAAATTCCTTAAGCAAAGGAGGAAAAGATGTCAACTGCTGCAATACATAAAAAGTGACTCATGAGCAAAATGCAGCTTCATAAATACCTGACAGTTGCACAGTGAACCTCACTCTTAAACTTGATGCATGTGTGGCAGGGGTATTTTTCTTCATCTCAGGATTAAAACATGCTCGTACTTGGAGGAGGCTATTATGACTTTTTCATTTGTTGTTTACAGTGAAACTCATCAAGCACTATGGCTTTAACTATTTCAAAACCTAGAATGATGGTAGCTAAAAATCACACAGTTACAGCTGGCTCACTGATATAATGGAGAAAAGGAAATCAGGAACCATCCTTCAGCCCCAGAGTGATTACAAAACAGTTTAAATATGCAAGAGAACAGTCCTGGGGAAGACAGTGCTTTGCTGATTCATGTGCTATGCAAGAAGGGGCCCTTTGCATCAAAAGAGCCAAAAACATTCTTATGAAATAGAAGTACTCAGTAACATAGAAATGCTAAAGCATAACAAATGACCGAATATAACAACAGAAGAAACTCTGTCAGATCTGAGGTCATTTCATAGCAGGGAGGCATTTTTCGTAGATCTTTACACCCCTTCTCATATCTGACAGTCAGGCATGAAGTGATGTAAGATGTACTAGATATACCAATACAGATGTAATGGTCAAGGCTGGGCTGCTTGCAAATATTTAGCTAAGGGAAAAGTACTGACCATTCATGGTGTCTGAGACTGAGCCCATGATGGAAGCAGGAGAGTTTGTGGCCCTTGACTGAGGTGCTGAAGATGCTGGGTCATCCACAATTACCAGCATATCATTGCTACTTTCATCAGGAGGGATAGATCCCATATGCAACTCACTGCTGATGGAGATCTAGACAAGACAGAGACCAAACCTTGTTGGGTAAAGACAGCAGCAAAGACAACCATAGACTAAAAACTTCAGAAAAGGTGCAACTGCATTAAAGAAGGTCCCCCCCCCCACCTCAGACAATTAAATAGCAAATAGCCTCTTTTTCTCTCAGTGCAAGACAAAGCAACATGACATATATGCTGCTGGCTCACCATACTAAGTCCTCTACTTAAAAGTGGATCAGCATTAAAACTTGTTACTTCCTGCCAGGGTTTAATTTCAACTGTGAACTAAAATATATGCTAAATACAAAAATTCAGGAACCTGGCAGGTATCCAGGAAAACCCTTGTAGCAATTTATTCAACCCTGATTTTCCAGACTGATAACCCTCATGCGAATGTGCCCTTTGAAACAAGAAAGATTAAGATTTGTCTTATTTGCTCCACCACTATTGATGATAAAAACTTTTATTAAAAAGTGAAATGTATAATGTAAAGATCTTAACCCAATCTCATATGAAAGCACTATTATATATTTAGTGGCATAAGCCTGTACTGCTTTTTACAAAGATGAAGAAAGGAAGCTTGCGCCCAAAATAATTTAAACTTTCTGTTAGAGAAAGGAAACGCAACAATTAAAGGGCAGATGGAAGTGTGGAAGCAGAAAAAGCTGTAGGAGAGTTTGGTTAGGGTACTTACAAAGAAACTGAAGTACGCTAAAGTATTATGAAGGAGAGGGAGAGTGCTTGGTTCACAAGTGGAAAGTCTATCCTAAAAATGGAAGTTGTTGCTAGGGAAAAGGCCATGAGAAGCCATAAATGAGAGTAGGACATAAAGGAAGGATAGGGGGAGAAGAGAACAGGAAGAAACCAGCAGGGATGCAGGCATGCACAGAGCTCTATAGAGTCTGAAGGTGAGGAGAAAGAAGCAAGATTTGATGTAGAAAGAGGCCAGAAATCAGTGAAGGAGATGGGATGTAAAGATACATAGTTCGAGCTGAAAAGGAAGATTAATTTGAGCTGTTACAAGTTGGATAGAATAGTTTCAATGCAACAGTTTAAAACTAAGATACACCAAGCTTCCAAACAGTACAAGAGGCTCCATGCTAGCTATAAGCTAATTTGCAAAAGGTTTGTGCCCTGAATCTAAGTGTGGAAGATAGTTTAAAAAAAATCTCACCTCACTGAAGGGGCTAGGCATGGCGGAGTCTACACTAATGAAGGAGTCATCACCATCAGCAGACAGGTTGGAGTTATCAGCTGAGGGAACAAATGGGATCACCAGGTTCATGCTTTCTTTCTTTCTCTTTCCATCCAACTCATCTTCTTTCTTTTTCTGCAAATAAGCAAAATGAACAGGTTACACAGGAACAAAAACATGATAAAGAAGATAAATGGAGCAAGTAAATAAAGAGCTCCAAAGAGATGGAGCTTATCATTCAGTAATCAGAGTAATGCCATATGCAGTATTTTCTGATAACAGTGTTTTGGAAGACATGGCACCAGATACAGCAGGAAATTCTACATTAGATTAGGAAGTTTCCCTAAAATGGCTCACAGGCTGGAGTAACCTTTCCACTAATGAAGAGTTAAGAGTATTTTGATTTTGGTATTTAAAAAGAGAAAGCAAATGAAGCTGAAATGCTTATCCTGTTAAATTCAGATGCAAGTTATTTAAATGCAGAAGTGTTGCTTAAAAGAAACAAAAAATCAAAATCAGATCTTGGCTTTTGCCCAGTATTTAATTTCTATTCCTTTCACGATGTAACAGGCAAGAATCCCTGCTGGAAGTTTTTCAGACTCTCTTGACCAAACACAGAAAGGTATTTTTTGCATCCAAGTACCTTTTCAGCATACTTTTCCCTCTTTCGTTTACGCTCTTTCACACGATTTGTCTCCTCCTGCTGCCGTTTCTCTTCCTGACGCTGGCGTACTGTCAAGAAAGAAAAATAGAAAAAAGCCTACTGTAGAGCTGAACACCTCTCCAAATTCTTTTCTATCCTTCTATACATACTCCATTTCACAGTAGCTCGGTTCTAGAAAAACCCTGAATAAAGCCATTAATGCTGTACTGTTACATTGAAGGCTCCTACAGAGAAAAACTGTAGTCAGACCCAGAAAAGTACAAGCCTTACTGGAAAATCTCTCTCAAAAGTGGTATCAAGATACACGTTACACATTCAAATACCTCTTGCACTTATTTTAAGTGATCCTCCTTACTCTGTTAAAGCTGTCATTCATGAATAATGTGGTGATCTTTAGTAAGTGCCAATAAAATCTTTAAACTACATCGTCTCATTTCTCACACACATATTTGTCCATTTTATCCAATAGTGTATGAAACCAACTTGTACTAAAGCAGCTACTGATATAAAATAAGCCAGGAAACAGAAGAAGTTATCTACAGTGCATGTGCAGAGACAGATAAGAAAAAATTCAAAAGCACTGTAATGTGAATAACATACGTTTCTTCTCAAGTTCTTCATCATCCAGGAGAAGGCTGACCACCTCTTTGGGTTTCAAGGTGTCTGGTTTGAAATTGCCACCTGAAATCACCATTCGCTGAATCTAGAAGAAAAGAACACATAGCAGAGAAGCTATGAACCACTCCCATTTCTCTTTATTACATACTAGCAATATTTTCTGTTTGGGAAAGTGGCTGACAGTCATAAAAGAAAAGTTTTGTTTATTCTAACTTGGTAAACCCAGCAGCAGAACACAGAAGTTTTTATTAACACATCAACTAAAACAGATTTAGTAAATTGCAACTGAGACCACACAGAAGAACACTGGCTCCCCACTGTGCAATGCAGCAGTCTTCTACTAAAGCAGCACCTACTAAATAATGAAAGGCACTGCATTAATGTAGTGCTGACCATTAACTATTAATCCTCACAGCCATCTGCGATATAGTTAAGTATTATTCTCTCCATTTTTCAAGTACTTTGGAAGCATTGTGGTTTATGATTTAAGAGAGCCTAGATTCTAAATCCTGGGTCAGACAGTGATTTGATATGCAGGTTTGGCCAATCACTTGACCTCTCTGGATGCATCTAGACTGACAAGTAAGGGTGCACCGATAAAGATTTTCTTGGCCAATACCAATAGCCATATTGGCTGATACCGATCTCATAACAGATTTACAGGAATGCAGCTGGGCAGCGTGGAGAGCAGTGCCCTGCAGGTAAGCCTGTAGAGGGGAAGAGGCATATGGGAGGGGAGGGGTGTGGGGAGTGCAGATCCAGGCCCACATGGTGAGGGAGATAGTAGGGCAAAGGTGAGGGCTGCAACTGGGAGCACTGCCCAGCCAGGGTGATGAATGGAACCCAGGGCCAGGGTGGGGAGCAGGACAGAGCCGTGGGCAGCTCTTCCAGAGGAGCAGTGTCCCAGTGCTTAAAAATGGCAGCAGGGCACTTGAACTACAGCTCATTGAATGAGCTTTAGTTCAAGCACCACTGCTACCACCATTTTTAAGTGCAGGGATGCTTTTAATCGGAGTGGAGCTAGGTGAGGCGATGGTGGAGGTGGGCTGCTTGCTGCAGGCTCTCCGCTTTGCTGCCTTTGCTCCCACTGATGCTGGGCAGGCAGGGGGCACGTGGCCGGCATGGGGCTATCAAGAGAAAGGCAGCAGAGTGGAGAGCACTGAGCCCACGGTGAGCAGCCTGCATCTGCCCTGAGCATAAATCTGGGGAGGGAGAGGAGGAGACATGCCCCCCCCCATGCCAACTTGGGAGATGCACACAGTGGGGAGCTGCTCCCCACCCCCCACACTGCACCACCCTAGACAAGCTGCCTGCAGCTCTGTCCTGTTCCCCACCCCAGCCCCAGGTCCCATTCACTAACCTCTCTGGGCAGCACCCACAGCCCCAGCCCCACTCTGTCCCTCACTGTGGGGGCCTCAGTCACCCCCTCTCCCTCTCCACAACCCTTCCCTTCCAGAGACTTACCTGCAGGGCACTGCTCTCCATACTGCCCGGCTGCATTCCTGGTCATGCACACACATGCGGCTGCGTGCGTGCACATGGCATCCAGAGGCCCCAGCCAGAAGGCATAGTATATTTAATTGGTGAACATTATCAGCCAAAAAACCTGATAGCCAATAATGTTAATTTTCTTTTTATTGGTGCTGATCTGATACGCAACCGATATTTCAGTGCACCTCTACTGACAAGTATAAGCAGCACAATACAGAACAGGTAGACGCTAGATCAGACATTTCAGGCAATGTCAAACAGAACAGCCTCCCTCCCAAATTAGCATTAGGCAGCCCTACTGTGGGTACAAGTGGAAATACACCTTAATTCAGAGGTGGCTAATGTGTTGTTCACTACTGCACTACCATCAACCACAAAATGCAGTGACTTGAAGGTTGTAATACAAACAAGGCCTAACAGACAGGAAAGCTGAAAGAATACACAAGACCTGTCTGCGCTACAGCTTCCAGTATTACTGATACTAAATGTTGGGAACTGGTCTCCAATTATTGCTAGCATAGTAGCATTCCTTATAGTAGTAGGGGGGGCAACCCTTTTTTGGTCACTGTGCCACAATATAAACCCTGCCCCCTCCCTGAGTAATACTCTGATCTCCTTCCCCACCCAATCTATTGCTCCACTCTCTCCTCCCTGCCACAGAACAATCAAAGCAGTTGCACATGCCGCTTGCGGCGCATGTGCCAAAAGTTGGCCACTGCTGCCTTAAAGTTTTAAGGTTAAGCTTAACCCACAAGGAAGGTTTTTAAAAAACATTTACTGCTTGATGCTGCGCATGTCTGTGACTCCTTGCATATTATCTGATTATCTTAATGACTTTCTGAAAAGAAATTCTAGTATGATAAAAGGATCACAACATTCAAATCTTAAGTGATACTAGTTTACAGTTCTGCAGAAATTAGTGGAAGATATAGTAATGGTCTTTCTTACATCAAGAAAATTAAAACCCATAAGCACAGTGATAGCATAAAGCTGTAAGGTAGACAGGGTTCAGACACGTTACACATCATAGCAAGAACCTAGATTCGTGACAGGCTGGTATAAACATGTTGGCCCCTGCTGCTACACTCCAGTGATAGCAGAGGTCTGCAACTTACGGCCCGTGGATCAGATCTGTCCCACAAAGACTGGATCTGACCATTGTCAGCTTGGGGCATTGGATTTAACTCTTTCGAGTGACCAGTGGAATGGAATCAGTGGTGAGGGTGAGCGCAAAAACTTGGGTGCTCCAGGGGGCTGAGATCTGTGACCCATGCAGGGTTCCAGGGAATGGCAACGCAGAGGGGGTATACAAGGGTGAGAGTGCCAATGCACCCCCTGTCAAGCAACGCTCCCCATTTAGCCACTGCGCAGGAGGCAGGCGGGAGCACTAGTGCCCCCCCTGTGAGCGCCGGCTGGGGAGTGGGGCTGCCAGCAAAAGTGGCCACACTGCTTCCGGAAGTGACTGCGGGACTTCTGGAATCTGTGTGGCCCCTTTCTGGTGAGTGAGATCAGCCGTGGGGGACCTCCCCCTAGTCAGTGTGATTGGCTGCTGGGGGACCGCCCCCCTGGTTAGTGAGATCAGGTTGTTGACTGGGGTCAGGGGGGGCACGTGTTCCCCCTGACTCAAAAGGCACCAGTCACCCATGGTTCCAGGTTGCAAAGAGCAGCCCATGGCAGCCAGAGGCTGCCAACCCCTGAGCTATAGTGTTCCGAAATATTGGTAACAACTGGATACTCATTTGTTTAGTCTTTTTTTAATTGCATGGATACTCCCCATTTTGGTTCCCCTTCTATCCAGAGAGACCTTTCTGCTTCTCATTTCACAGCTTCTGGTACCCTTTCTAACCTCTCCTGCTCAAGACAATTTATTCATTCTCACCTCACTTTTCTCCTTGGCTCTCTGCAAGATGCGCTCTTCAATGGTGCCTTTACATATCAATCGGTACACAGTGACTTGCTTTGTCTGCCCCAGTCTGTGTGCCCGGTCCATGGCCTGCTGGTCTACTGTTGGGTTCCAGTCACTGTCATAGAAAATTACCTATAGAGGAACATTACAGGAGCACAAAAGGTGTTAAACAGAAACAAACTGTTACAATATTTTGTTTTTAAGTACATCCAATGAAAAAAGAAAACTAGCCTACTATTGGGAGAATTTAACTCTGCTACATAGTCCAAACTGCATGTAATACTTGCTGACTGCAAGCAAGTCCTAACTGCACCATAATTGCAGGCACTGGCAAGTAGGGTACAATTAGGACCTTATTCCCAATCCCCAAATTGCATGTCTTGCCATGCATACGTGGCATACAGAAGGCATGAAGACTGCATGCAAAATCTAATGCTTCCCAGAATACAGGGAAGATATGTCCTTTGCTCCGTACTTCAAGTGCTTCTGAATTACTCAGTGCCATATTACAGAACAGCTGAGCTATTCTCGTCTACCTTGCCAAGTTCTGCTTGGAGCACAAAATTCTAAAAAAATATTGCAGCATAATATCATTACACCAATTAAAGATTTGTGGTCATTTACATTATAACCACATTTTTAGAGGTTGTTGTATTGCAACTCCTCATCCCAAAAGATCCAGGTATTTTACATCTAAATGCCATAAAAAACAGATGTCAAAAGAAGGCTAAGATTTCAAAGTGAAGCACTGCAAAAAATGAAGAAAACCCAAAGCTGTGGTCACTTAGGTCCCTGGCAGATATTACACTTAAGATGTGATTAGTCCATTAATTGTGCTTTAAGTGGTAACCCAGTCACATATTCAGAGAATTAATGGTGCCATAAAAATGGAAGTCTGCCCAAAAAATATTACACAAATAATGCCATCCTTGTGGCTGGTTTCCATTGCTCCTTAAACTATGTGGCAGGGTTAAGACGACATAGGGGTTTTCGACCAGTCTTCGTGCAGTCCTGGCCAACTATCAGCTGACTGGGGGCAGGACTGGGACCCCATCAGGCCTCTAACTTGTCCCGGTACAGTCCCTGGCAGCTGATGATCAGTAGGATTGTAGCTGCATCAAGTTGGATCATGACCCCAGATTCCTCCTGCATTGGCCAGTAGGTGTACGATTACGATCTGGTCCCCAACCCCCAAAACTATGCATCCTGCCATGCACATGTGCCATGACAGGAGATGCAATTGTTGGAATCAAGCATTAGATCCCATCATGCCTTTAAACTAACATCTGTCAGAAACCTCATAAGAGACTGCAGGACCTTCCCGTTTCAACCTAATTTTTTACTATTTTCTTTGTTAAAGAATCCTACTTGGCTTGAAGGGTTTTCAAAACTCCTCTTACAACGGCAGCATGTACCAGTTTAAAGTGCTCTTCTATGAAACTGATTCTTTTGTAACCTGTATAGCTTTCACAAACAGACTGTTAAGGTGCCTGCCTTTCATAAGATGGGTCTTTCTTGGCCCATTATCACTTCTATATATTGGCATCAGTAAGTAGTTTTGGCTCTTTTATAAACATAGGTAGGAATCATTCCAGTCTCTATTGCTGCAACCAGGAATTTGATCCTCTTTCACCGTAACAGGCCCCTCTTGTCTTCATTACAGGGAAGCAAGAGCAGATCCCTTTAAGACAGGGGTGTCAAACTCATCTGGCCCCACAGGTTAGACGAGCTGTGCAGAATTGGTCCACAGGCCAAATGAATAGTGCAAGGCAGGTCCCACGGGCCAGACTGGGTGCCGGACCCCCCTGTTCTGGTCCAAGAGCTGACAGGAAGAAGTCCAGCATCCCGGGCTCTTTGCTGCTGCCACAGGAACAAGCCATGATGTCAGGCCTCTTCCCGTAGTGATGCTCCAGCACTATGCCTCTCACCCAGCTGCTTGGCTACAATAGCCAGAAGGTCCTCCCTGATCCAAGCTGCAGGCCAGATGAGCTGTCACTGTGGGCCAGATCTGGCTCGCAAGCTGTATGCCTGACACCCCTGTTTCAAATGAAGCAATACAGGGTGGAAGCCTGAGAGAGAAGTACAAGGGAAGAGGCCCAGCAGTGATGGGTTGAAGATTTCTGAACAGCAAGAAGAACAAAGTTTTTGCCAAAGGAAGGTGAACCCAGGGAATAAACCATGAGTAAATCTGTGGTAAAGGTGACGAAGGTCAAACAGGCCATGAAGGAGGTCTGGTTTATTCTACACCTCTCTAGATTAAGAGGCCTTCAAAGAAGCAAACTGGACTGAGGAAAGACCTAGTAGAGAACTGGAGGACCTACCAGTGGAAGTAAGTCCAACAAGGATAGATAACAAGGCTTAAGGACACTAGGCAGAAAGGCTGAACACAGGAAATGGTATTTTGGAAAATTCAGTGAAATTCAGGGGGCTATATCCTATTGGCTAGATTCGCCTTCTTCAGAGACCTGCCCACTGATAAGAGCAAGGTATGGCAGGTGAATTAAGTGGGAACATCTGTGGGGAGCAGAAGGCTTGAGAAGTGTGGGGAGTGTTGATAACATGGCACCTCAAACTGAGAATCAGGAGAAGCGACTACATTCAGCATGGTACTGAAGGATTTGTAGGGAAAAAGCGGGACCCAGACCTTTATGGTTTCCCCTAATTGGAAACCATAAATTCCATTTGTGGAAAAAACATAAATTCCCCTAATTCCTCCATAAGGCATAATAATTCTGAGGAGGAGTCTGCGTCAGAGTTGCCTGAGGGTTTTGTTTGCTTGTGGTTTTGCACTGAGTCCTCATGCATCCCATTCAGCAAGTCTGTAATGGAAAGGCACAGGCAGAGTTTTCTTTCTAGCCACATTAAAGTTAATTTTAGCTTTTTTAGTATAACCATCGGTTGATGGGGCCTACAAGGAAGGTAAAAACCCCCACAGCCCATGCCAATCTGACACTGGCAAAGGGCAGATGCTGCTGTTGGTCCCCGGAGGCTGACCTGTCTTTAGCAGGCAGCAACAGCTACTTCCTCAATGGCACGTTTGGAGCTGGCAGGGTTCCCACTGCTTTCTGTCCTTGTGGAGCTTAGCTCCTACCAAAAGGCAAAAAATATATTTACAAGGAACCTGCATTTTTAAGATTGTACAAGGCTGATAAACATGGGACACATGAATATAAAGGACATTTGGGGCTGGGCAGGAATGGTTTCCTGCACTGTGTACATTTCTGCTTGTGCCGCTGTGTTATGCCAGCTTGCTAGATAGAGAAAACAACATTGTACTGTAGAGCAAGGAGGGACACCTCACAATGCAGAAGCAGGCTGAAGAGAAAATAAGTGGGAGAGGGAAGCACATAGAAGAGTTTACTGTTGGATTTCTGACCATTTAAAAAAATGGAGAGGACAAAGGCTCCTGAGCAGCCTGCCTCTTTTTAGTGAAGGCAGACACAAGGAGGTGATCCTCCCCATCCATGCAATGCTGGTCAGGCCACAGCTGGATTACTGCATCCAGTTCTGTGCGCCCCACTTCAGGAGGGATGCGGACAACATTGAAAGGGTCCAGAGGAGGGCCACCCGCATGATCCGGGGGCAACAGGGCAGACCCTACAATGAAAGACTGCGGGACCTAAACCTGTTCAGCCTTCACAAGAGAAGGCTGAGGGGGGACCTGGTGACTGTCTATAAACTCACTAGGGGGGGACCAGAAGGGTTTGGGGGAGACACTGTTTCATAACGCTGCCAATAGAATCTGTTCCTGTTCATACTCAAAATTTGAGTTCACATACCTAAGTATTGTTTAGACTCCACGATCTGCGGAAGTTACAAGCATTTTGAAGCTCTCTGACTTATATCTATCTTGGTTTGCCCAGGCAACCCTGTGGATGTTCATTTTGTTCCAATTTGTTTTAGAAATTACAAGAGGCACAGGGGAATTGAAAATAAAGAAAGGGGGAAGATATAGGTTTAGAAGTTTGCTGCCTTTTGGGAACTGAAGGCCACAGTCTTATTTGCTGTCAAATCTCAGTATGAACAAGCTATTTTTAAAAAGATCATTTATATGGTCTAAAAGCTTGCCTCTATGTATGGTGGATGTTTCATCAGAAGACACTGCCCATCTAATTGGGTGTAAAATAAAATATGAGGGATGACTAGGAGAGAGGAGAAAAGTTTTCCCAACCTGGTGGTCAACTAGCATTCTGATACATGACAGCTGAAAACTTTGTAGATCTCCTCTAGGTAGTTCTTACTGCCAGCCTTTGAAACTTTAATACAATGTGCAGAAAGAAGCTCGTCTCATGAAATCAAACAGGCACAGCAACAAAATGCTTTCAAAATGAAAGGCAGTGCTGTAATTATTTTGCTGAACAAGGATCCAATACCCCTGTACTATTCAAGTTTAAATTCACAAGGTAGACAGATAAAATCAGATCTGCCGTACAAATGTGCTATTTGCTTTTGTACACTCCTTGTGCCATCTAGCTATGTTTACACAGCAGCATACAGTGCTGCAGAGATGCCCCAAACTTGGCGTGAATATGTGAACTTGGATTCCAGAGTCTATACAACGGAAGGCATTGCTGTGTTAGCTTTGTACTTGCTAGGTCCAGCCCCAGAAGCAGTATAGCCACATTATCATAGCGCTGCATCCAAGCGAGTAATCCTTATTTCTCAGCAGTAAGCCAGCTACATTCTACAAGACAGATTTTGTATTCTACAATTATACAAAACTATTTACATACCGTATCCGCAGCTGTGAGGTTAATGCCCAAGCCTCCAGCTCTTGTGCTCAACAGGAACACAAAAATATCATTCCTAGGGGCAAAGAAAAGAACAAGTCACTTATTTTGTGATGATATCACACCACAAGTTAGAGAAGAACACCCAGCAAGGTAAATACTTTGCCTTGAAGAAACTGATCACAGTTATTTTTACCAGCTCAACTACTAAAATGTTTTGGCCTATTCCTGGCTGTAGAAAAAGGAAGAAGGGACGGAGAGTTAAAATACAGTTTAGCAGTGTTGAAAAACACTTGTGAATGTTCTTTTCAAATCAGAGTAGCAGCCTCTTGTGCCAACTTAAAACAACACTGGGCTTGTTGTGCCCATTTCGCTCATTCTCTTGCTGAAATTCTCATATTTCCTGCTCTAGTTTCATAAACATTTTCACAGAACCAACTTTAAATCTAAGATTAGTTTGTCAGGTAAGGAATGAAGAGAAAAGCTAATGAACTCAAACAAGATCCTATGTTAATATTAGTCTATAGGTAAAGAATAAAGGAAAAGAAGCCGAAACATATTATAGATACAAAACTGTCCTAAACTGAATGTTTTCTCTTTTCTTTAAACACCAAGTGATTTGTATTTCCTACATCCCTTGGCTTGGACTATTAAAAGTATGATGGAAAAAGACATGGTAAAACCTTCCAAGTAGAAATCTTGAATATAAGAACTACTATACGGGCAGTCCTTGACTTATGACATTTTGAATTACATCAAATGGCACTTACACCACTTGTAAACTGACACGCTTTTTCGACGTTCTGATGCGGGTTTTGTCTTTATGACACTGGACACTGGCATGGGGAGGGTGTGGGGCAGCTCCTATTGCTGCATGCCACAGATCCAGGAGGGCACATGGAGCGTGTGCCCCAGATCTGCGTGGGACAGCTGGGGCCAGGGTTGCATGCCAGGCAGAAGGCACTGGGAGCGGGGGTCCTGCCCTGCTGCCACTTGCCCAGCCGGGGCAGGGGAGTGCGTGATGCAGGCGTGGCTTGCTCCGGGCAGAAGACTGTGGGCACAAAGGCTCTTCCCTGCTGCCACTTGTCCAGCCAGGGAGGAGGGTGCGGGACAGAGGCGCTGTGCTGCGCTGCCTCGGACAAGTGGCGCATAGTGGCAGAGCTGCTCCAGTCGCTCCGTGCTTCCTAGATGAGCTGTGGTTTCACCCTGCCGAGTGGCAGCAGCTGTAGGGAATGGTAGAGGCATGTGCCCCTGGATCTGCACATTGTGGGTGACGAAGCGGGGGCTATAGGGGGGATGCAGCTACTCTAAAATTCCCCATAGCCCTCACTGCCCACCCAGAGCAGCCTCTGCCCAGGCTGCCCCAAGCAGATCTGGGGCACACCCTCCTGCCCTGGCTAGACAAGCAGCAGCAAGGCAGAGCCCTTGCTCCCAGTGCCTTCTGCCTGGACCAAGCCATGTCTGTGCATCATGCCACCCCACAAGCCCCTAGGCTGGGCAAGCGGCAGCAGGGCATAGCACCAATTCCCAGTGCTGTTGTTCCTGCATCCTGCACCCCCACCCCACCTGGACAAGCAGCGACAGGGAAGAGCCCCTGCTCCCAGTGCCTTCTGCATTGCCACAGGGGGACCAGTGGGGGAGCAGCTGGATAAGCTGCAAATTCTCCCACAGCCGCCCATAGCCCCCACTCCCAGCACTGCCGGAGCGTAGTCTGGCACTGCCCACCTCACCACGGGAGGAGCAGCCGGATGAGCCGTGGCTTCTCCCACGGCTGCCCATAGCCCCTGGAGTGCAGCCTGGCACTGCCCGCCTCCCTGTGGGGGTAGCAGTGGGGGGGCAGCCGGACGAGCCATGGCATCACTCTGGGGGCTACGGGTTGTTAATCATTTGGCTGGAGGATCAAAATAAAACCCGTGCTCCTGAGGGTTTTGGGCACCATTAAGGAAATGGTCAGGAGTCTTTATGATGAACAGCAAAAAGTCACAGGGGAAGAAGTCACACTGTTGAAGAGACTCCCCCTCATAAAGTCTTGACAACAAAAGTGTTGGCTGAGGCATTTCAACATTTGGAAGCTGCCATGTCCCTGTTTGAGGAACACAACCCCAACACTGAATGCAGGGCATCAGTGAATAGGGGCATATCCAACATGTACAGCTGCTATGGAGAAATGTACAAGCAAAAGAAGAGAACATCTGTCCAAATTTCCTTGGACATAATTCTTAAGAAAGCAGGCACGACTCCAGAAAAACCTGCAGCCAAGACTCCTGAGAAGACTCCAGCAAATAACTCTTCAAAAAGTGCAGCAAAGTCACCTCAAAGAAGTCCTTCCAAATCAATATGATTGCTATTTACAATATAAATACATTAATGTAGCTATATGACTCATCTATAATTGATTGCGTATAAAATTTTGGGTTATTTTTGGTGAAAATTGGGTACCAGGCCTTGGTTCAGGAACCAATCCCCCATTCATAACATTGTTTCCTATGGTAAAATTGGTTCCGAGTTACAACGTTTCAACTTAAGACAGTTTTTAGGAACCAATTGTGTCGTAAGTCCGAGGACTGTCTGTATTCCAACTCCTAGCTCTGACACTAGCTTGCACTAATAGATTTTTTTTTTCTTCTTTTTCCCTTTCCCATCAATGGGAATAACATCTTATCCATCAAACATGTATACTGTGAGAATTCAGTGGTGAGTGATTTAAACATTTGGAAGATGATCAACTACACAGACCTATTAACAAAAGAACGGTGAATAAAATGAAAAGTTAATTCCCTTATGTTAACTGGAAGCTGTGTTGTCCACAAGCACATTCCACTACTGGTGGGCACGACTAAAAATGCCCAACCCCAGAGAATTTTTGACCAGCAATCTATGCCTGGCGCTTACATGCCCCTGAAATTCTGTGTGCTTTGCACAGAGGAGATAAAATATGGAAGACACTGACCACACTTCAGTTTTGTTTCAGCTGTGGAATCTTAGGCATGCAACGATCCAGAGCAGACAGGGTAGAAGTAGGCTGCAAAATATGACTATGGACAACACCTTGAAAAACACCAGGTAGCCCAAGGTACACTTCTCATTCTCCTTCAAGTAACTGCCATATACAAGTCCCACTGTTCATGACTCCAAAGCACCAAACTTCAATTGGAGGTGGGATCTCAGTCTCGAGAATACTGTGACTGATTCTGTACTTTGTCAAATCCAGTGTGCAATCTGAAGGATTTTGACACTGTTTGACATTTAGTAAGCTTGTAGCGAGGCTGCTGACACAGCTGGAATTCTGTGGCTGCGTGTTCTAACAGACATAGATGCGTCCATGGTGGCTCTCTCATAACATGACTTTATACAGTCTGAGATTTGGAAAACACTGGGTTGAGACCACCTTGCCTTTTATTCTCTCCATTACAGCAACAGACAGTTTAGAAACCAACCTAAATAGTTTTCTCTTTTGAAAATAAAGGGCTAGGGTAGCTCACATCCAGCATGTGGAAAAATGCCTAAATTCAGGATGCAGGTGACTTTGGGAAGAAACAAGGAAGGTCAATCTGTTGATTCAGGTAGAACTCCGCAACTGCCAATGACAAGAACTTCGGTGAGTCCTCAGACAAACCACGCTGCATGGAAAACCACGTAGACAGCAAACAGGGGAGGTTGGGTACTAAAAATATCCTGACTGACTGGTAAGTGTGGCAGGAAGCATGATGGTAATGGTGCTGGTTCAAACAGGTACCCCATGGGAGGTAAGCAGTTTACAGTCCCAGAGCATGATTAAACCTTTTATAATTGAGAGCCCATTAGAAAGTTTGAAACTAACTTTCAAAAGTTTTGAAAGTAGGAAAAAGGGGTTTTCTATATGCTTGAACTCAGACAATAAAAAGTTTCATCTTGAACCAGAGGCAGATGAGAGAAACTGAGGTGCAGTCAGTATATTTTATCATTTATCTCCTGAGTATCAGGCAGTAGGAATCTTGACACCTGTTTCCTACAGAGGTGAGCCTCTGAGCTCAGGCACATGAAAGTCCATACACGCTAACAGTAAAGTACATATGGACCAGGGGTGGTCAATTATTTGGGCTGGAAGGCCACTAAGGGAGGTATGGAGAGCTGTTGCAGGCTAGGTCAGAACTCCAACGAACCCCACAGCTCACTGAAACTCCTAAATACCCACCCTCAGCCCCATCCCATACACCCAGCCAAGCATGCCCTGCCTGTAAGGGTCCCATTTGGTTTCCATTTTAGACCACGCCTGTCTGCTCTGTCCAGCACCCCCGGGCAGTGAGTGCAGGGCAGATGGGCTAGGGTGCCCAGGCAGGAGGGCTGGGTCCTGTGGCAGCAGTGAAACTAGTGGTAGCACCTGGAAAGAGCCACTGCCAGGGCTGCTGGGAAGTGGAGTCCCCAGCCCTGCTGCATGCCTGGGTGCAGTGGGACAGGCTGCACATGCCATGGCCTGGGCTGCTCCCCATGCCTGGACTGGGCAGGGCCAAGGGACCCAACGCAAGCCAGATAAAATCCCTTGATGGGCCAGATTTTGTCCACCTCTGATATGAACAATTATTAGAAGGGGGATCAACAGCTTTCAAAGGTGAAAAATGACACAGGGAAGGGAAGGAGAATTTTTCCTCAGAACTTATGAAGAGATTATAAATTCTTTAGCCATGAGTCCTGCCAGGACATCCTGCAGAACTGTCTGTAGTTTCAGTCAGACTTTTTCCTGGAAGTATTCTTCATAAACAAACACAGCACAAGAGGAATTTAAATACTTTTATAGGAATTCTTGTTTAGACTGGCGAAACTTTATATCAAAGGGACTTCCAGCTGAAATGATTATTTTTCTTTAGTTGTTCTGTTCATTAATAAAATATAATTTGGTAAGCATTCTTGGTTAAAACTTCTTACAGGAACAAGTGCTAGAATACTAGTGGGGAAGAGATCATAATTACTTAAAAATCTAGTTTTTAAAAATGGACCCAATCAAAGATTTCGGCAGTGCACAGTCATTTCACTTGCTTTAAATGTTTAAAGTTCCCTTTAAGCCCTACTTCACTGTGGTTCTGATTTGCATACATCTATCCCTTTCCAAATAGTGCTTATTAGAGGGGCCTACCTAATAAAATGTCTACATGGCACACAACCTCTTTTAACTTTTTGCCTCAATGGCATCAGTGCTTGATTTGATTTTCAGACTTCCAGGGTTCACACGTGGATTCTAATCTACCTTCAGAACTACGATTCTACTCTGAGAAGGCCAACCCAGGTTGTTCTTTTTTCTGACTCTTTTTTTCCTCTCTTGATAACGGTGGAACAACCATAATCTATGAATCTTACCACTGTGAAAAAACAGTGACCTTGTTCTTAATGACTGTTAGAATTCATTCAGAAGGTACATTTTAGGAATGTATCACATCATCTCAGACCACATACCACATGTTATAGCAACATCTTATCAAGTTACATTGTGTCTCATCCAAGAGAATTTTAGTAACCATATATATAGTAGGGCTGCGCGAAGCTTTGGTAGCCGATTCGATTTGGAGCAGATTCGGCCCAATTTGGCAGCTGAATCTCCAAATCTGAATCAAATCGGGAGACCCATTAAAAGGTCTGAATTGAACAGGAAGCCTCCGAATCAATTCGAAAAAGATTCGGTGCCGATTCAGAGATTTGGCCATAGACTAAATGGGCAGCAGTCCTCACCACGCTGGACACAGCTGCTTCCAGTTGATAAGTCTGTTGTGATGGATGGAGGGGGGAGGGAAGGAGTGTGGGGGGAGGCAATCAATGCCCCCACAGCAAGGAAGGATTGGGGCAGGGATGTGGGCTAGGGCAAGCACTATCCAAGGAGGGGGTGGGGCAGCTCGTGTCGCTGCACACCACTGGTCTGGGAGCTGCTTGTGTGGCAGCTTGTCCAGCAGCTCTCGCCGCTGCTCCCACCACCAGTCTGGGAGGGCACAGGCGTGTGCCCCAGGATCTGCGCAGGGGCACGTGGGGCTGTGGCTGTGCCAGATGCAAGGCAGAAGGTGCTGGGAGCAGGGGCTATGTCCCCCCACTACTCGCTCAGCCAGTGCAGGGCCAGCGTGAGACTGAGCCACTGCGCTGCCTCCAGACAAGTGGTATGCAGTGGCAAGAGCTGGCCCAGACTCCCCACAACTCCTGGACAAGCAGTGGTACAGCATGCAGGGGGAAGGGCGTGTGCCTCTGGATCAGGACGGGGCAGGCACTGGCGCAGGGGCTATAGAGGGCTGCAGCAAGTTTTCAGGAGGCACATGCCCCTCCCATGCCCTGCTGTTGCTTGCCCAGCTTGGGTGAAGCCACTGCTCATCTGGGAGGTGTGGGAAGGCTGAGCCAGCTCCTGTCACTGTGTGCTGCTTTTCAGAGGCAGCACAGGGGCTCAGTCTTGCACTGGCTCCACGCTGGCTGTGCTAGCAGTGGTGGGGGACATTGCTCCCGCTCCCAATGCCTTCCGCCCAGCACAGCCCCAGCCCCGGAGGAAGCTGTGTCCATCGTTGAGGACTGCTGACCGTTTAGTCTACGGCCGAATCTCTGAAGCAGTGCCAAATCTTTGGATCCGATTCAGCTGAATCAAATCGGGACAGTGATTCAAATAACCGAATCAAATCACTGTCCCTCCAAATTGGCCGAATCGGAATCGAATACTTGCCACTTTGCACAAATCTAATATATAACCATTATTTATGCCATGCATCAATAGAGATGAAGTTGTCACGATATGGAATCCTATAAGATTATGCAGACCCCCTTCCCTTGTTATAGTATATGGCTAATTTACAGGCACTTATTTAGAAGCTTTACTTCACTAAACTGGATTGATCAATACAGCTTATTATATAAATTCAACTGCTATAGTTTAATGTCAAGGTTTTAGTAGATCCCACTACATTACACATAATAGTTTATTTCTTTAGCTGTTCTATGAAACACACAGCACTGAACAGACCATTGTTTAATTTCATGGGAAACAGGGGTTCTAGTTTCAAAAGGCTTAGCATATCCATGACATTTCAATGTAATCCTAAGTATTACTTCCTAGAACATACTATAGTCAACGTACCACCGCTTTATTACCTCTGGGACAATCTGTGGAATATAAAATATTTAAGACAATAAGAATAAGATTGTCTGGTCCACTAAAGTTGCTTTATGCTACACTTTCACAGAAGGATAAGTTTCTAAACTCCACAAGAATGGAAATCCCAGTTAATCAAACAACAAATATCTAAATGTTTTGTATGTTCAACAAACCCTTTAGATAAACTGTGTAAACTTCAAATAAAAAACAAAAACAAAAAAAAAATTATGGATCTAAAATGACGTGAACTCAACTTCAGTGGTTAATCAGAATCTTTTAAATCCTTTTCTCACATATCATATGTTAATCGTCTATTTCACATTTAAGGGTTTTTGGGAAGGTAAGTTGTCTTAGCATCTCTAAAGGGCTCAACTCAGTGCTTTTATACATAGGTTACCTGTTCTGAAAGTCAGCTACCATGTCTCGCCTCTCAGAGATCTTTGAAGAACCATCCAGCCGCATATAGGTATGTTTCCTATAAACCATGTACTCCTAACAAAGCAGACAGAAACACAAAAATATGAGTTGGTTTTGTGAAGTCACATCATTCTGACTCTGCAAACAAAAATGCTAGCAATGGAATTAAAGTATAACCAAAAGACTACGAAATATCACCATAAGATTAAGTTGATAGTGTCCATCTAATTTATATCAGTAGTACCCAAGATTAATAAAATAAGTTTAAAAAGCCAAGTTACATTCCATCATTTGTTTTTTATTTTCTATGTTTCACTCAAATTGGGCATGACAAATTAAGTTTGTTTAATGTTTGTTAATTTAAGGTTTCATTTCCAGGATCCTAGGGTTAAAATACCTGGGTCTGAGGTACTGCCTCTGTGAATATGCATTCTTTTTTTCTAAGGAAAAATGCACTACCAAAACAACTCATGAACATACTTCTGGTATGATTATTAAAACTAAGGCTTGCTTTTACAAAATCAAAGTTTAAGACCACATTCTGCACTGTCAGTTTCTCTCTTTAAATAACCCTTTACCCAAGAGAGTCCAGAGGAGAGCCACACGCATGATTAGAAGTCAAGAGAGTAGGCCTTATGAGAAGAGGCTGAGAGGCACGGGACTCTTTAGCCTGGAGAAGAGAAGGCTCAGGGGGCACTTGGTGGCTGCTTATAAGTATATAAGGGGTGTCTATCAGGAACTAGAATGTCTGTTCACCAGGGCATCTGAAGGAAAGACAAGGTCTAACGTCACAAACCGCTGTAAGACCGTTTTTGACTGGACATAAAGAAAAACTTCTTTACCATCCCAGTGTCCAAAGTCTGGAATAGACTACCCCCAGAAGTGGTGCAAGCACCTACTCTGGATACATTCAAGAAATGCTTGGATGCTCACCTCACTGAGGTCATCTGACCCCAGCTGACTTCTTGCCCTTTGGGCAGGAGGCTGGACCTAATCTCACGAGGTCCCTTCCAGCCCTAATGTCTATGAATCTATAAGTTATCCCTTATATTATTGATAAAGCCTGCCGATTTTGAATCAGTTAGAGTTCAACAGACTCTTCAGTTACTACCTATTCTTTTGTCTCTTGTTACTGAGAAAGCCAGTCACCCAGTTCTCACTAGTTTTGCCATAACCTGTTTATTAATTTCTGAAATTATTAAGCATATTGCAAGAGCCTTCCATTCAGCAATGACTTCCAATTATGTTTGTTAGTTTAATATTACATTTCTTTCCTTTAAGAGCATTCAGTTTTTCTTGCTTAACTCTTATGAAGACATCTCTGCCTTAATTCATCTCTCCAATCAATGCTTGCTTCTGCCAAACTTTGGCTAGACTGTAAAATGCAACTATCAAAAGTAAAATAAAACACTGGCATTCTTAACTCCAGAGAATGTGGTACCTGGACTTCTGCTCTAGTATTAACATATACACCAACCTGTGACCAACATACTGCTCCTTCATCCATGTGGATCTGACAGACAGCATGGCATTATTGCTAACAATAAGCTGGGCCACTTGCATTCACCTGCCAGAAAACCTCTTCCAAAGCTATGGAAATATATGCTATGGGAGGATGGGGAGTAGAATCACTACAGCACTGTCCCTTTCTCTGCCCTCACTTGTACAGACATGCCAAAGCTGTAGTGTTGTTTGACTGTACCAAGAGTCTGGAACTTCTCTGGTCATTGCCCTCAAGAAAAGTAGATTTATGGTTTTTTACTCCCTCATTTCTTTCACTTGGATCCCATAACTCTCAAGCGATAAAATATAATTTTCTCCCCGTCTTATATCAAACATTTCTATGAGATTCCAGTTGTTAAAACAGAGAGTCTCTGAATATGCTTTTAGTGGTGGTCCACTAGTCTGATGACTGAAATACACCTTGAAAGGTGGAATCTGACAATTGTATCACATCTGGCAAGAAGTTTCAGATCCCAACCAAAAACTTCTCACTTTGAAACTTGCTCATGGTAGGCAGCTAGCAGGCTCAAAATGTGAAGGCAAAGCAGTATCACTGAGAGTGGATTTGCTGCAATTATACAAGTGCTGGGATCTTTGGAAATCTCATTACGAGTCATCTTAACTACTACCTTATGTATTACCACTCCCAGATGGCAGGTTCTGTTATTACTTGAGACTCCGTGCACTCAAAGGAACATTGTCAAAAACAGATCCGTCTCTTTGCAAGAAACTATTCTGGATGATGATTTATTTATAATAGGCTGTCCATAAAGATACACAGGTGTGTCCCCAGGGATTACAGCTTTACTAATGTCTTCATGAAGCCTCTAAGGGTGGAAAATGTGAAGTGATTTAATGGTAAAGCTTGAGCTGGAAACATGAGTTTCTATATGCAAAACTTAATTTTCATTCAGCTGTTAAACTGTGGAGGTACTTGATGCTTCCCCCTCCCCTCACTTTGCCTGTAAAATGAATATAGAACAAAGTCTTAAGAATTATTTTCCCAAATCAAAAGGCTATATTTTTCCTTTTCCAAAAAGTGTATGGTTTCCTCACAATGATCTGATGTTTTACTGAGTCCGCCATTACCAGGATGGAATAAAGAATGGACAAGGAGGCAACAACAATAAATGATCACCAGCATTCATTTGTCTACATTGAATGGTGTAACATGTTTGGGGCGTGGGTGTAGACAGAAGTGACAATTTTTGCCTGATCTGGCCACAGAAAGAGGTCTACAGACATAACCAAACAAGTCCACAGCTGCAGACCACTTCAAAAATGGCCAACTGGGTGAAAGTCTGAACCCTCATTGCACGAGGGATCAGAGGAAGGCTTTTTGAAACAGCCTCTTCTATAACTCTCTTAACCAGGCACAGGGGTTGCAGGGGCCCATCTGCAGCCTGCAACTCTCCCTCAATTTTGCTAGTCACCTCAGTTCTGCTGCTGTCTACCGTTTGTATCAACCATCTCTGCAACTTTGTAGCTCGTGTCCTTGGCTCCCTTGGCTGCCCCCCCCGCCCCCAACTCTAAGTCAAAAGTCTACAGCTATCTGCAACTATAAAACGGTGCCCTCTCTCCCTTTAAGTGACAGGAGTTAGAGGTGTCTGTTACTGTACACTGGGTATTTGGAAAGCAAGTGATTTGGCCGTACAGATAGGCATCTAGTTGCTGAGTGTGTCGTTCTGAATTTTTGGTTTGAAGGATGTGAACGGTTTCCAGTTTCTTATCATTCTCTGAAATAGGATGCGACCTCAGTTTGGTGGGAGTGAAAGGAGTATTTCTGTCTGGCACAAGACTAATATTTCTTTGAGGATCATCTGACAAGTATGTTTGCTATATTGATATTTCCCCCAATTTTTCTCTGGCTATTAAGAAATTGTGAATTTTAACACGCACAGAAATGATTACAGAAGCCTTAACATTTGAGTCCACTGGTACATAAATCAAATGGTAGCAGCAAGAATGCTATACCCTAAGATTTTTCTTAGTATTACGAGAAATTTTCATGGTTTGGAAGTGTTTCACCACTTTCTGGCAATAGCACTATGACATGCAAACAAAACATGAATTGTGATGGAAACTTTTGGCTGTAGTGGTGGCCTTGAAATATCTCCAACGGACACTAATTTTCCAATCACTAAAGTCCTTTGTTGAAGAAGCACAACTGCTGTTAATGCATCATGTTTTTGAGAAGTTGTGACCCCCCTGTGCAGATGTGGCAAGAGAGAACAGTTATACTGTTAAAATGTCATCGTATTGGTCTGACTCCAAGCTCCCACCCTCAGCAAAGCAAGAGCTGATATGCTGTGAAATGGAATGGTAAAGTCTGACGGCTAAATGACCGTTCCATTTTTCCTTTTGTGTTTTCAGTCTGCTTTGCTATTGTAGGGGAGGTACAAAGTGGTACATGGAAGGGCTTAGTGGGAACACGTGCTTTTGTACAGTCAAGCTCTCCAATACAGGAGGAAGGAGAAAGAAAATACATAAATTGCCCATAAAATAAAGATGGCAAAGTTCAGCCACCGAAACAGTTCCACCTCTAGACACAGAACCTAGCAGAAGGAAGTTGAGAGCGAGACTTAGCCTTAGAATTTTCTATGAATAAAGTACCTCCAAGAAACTGAGTGAAAAGTTAGAATCCAGAATACTTGTTTAACTTAGAAGGCCCAAAATCTTGGGCCCCCGATTCACAACTGATCAGTTGACTCCAGTTTTACACCACTCTTACACTGCTTTGTAACAGTGGATTGATACAATGCTGAATGAGGCCCTATACTATTCTGGATATTGCAGTGTCCTTTTCTCTTATCAACAAGACCTTTCCCTCTTCACCTCTGTGAAATTTCCCACATCTGTCCTTATCCTGATTCCCTTGGTTAGCATCCTAACCAATGCCATCCTCTTCTTTCATCTTACTTGTTATAACCATCTGTCCATCCACTGATCTTTCCAAGAGTCTCTTACCAAATGTCAGCATGACTAAGACAGCTATCCACATTTTATTAAATTTATGTGGTCCATTGCCACAGGCTTTAGAGATTTTGACTAAATCACAATTTCGCAAACAGCACTATTCAATATTTGCATCCCTGCTTTCAAATTTCCATAAAAAATTAGCTCACCAACCTAATCTTTCATCTCCATTTAACTATATCACTTTGCAGCTTTAGTCCCTCTTTCCCATCCACTTCTCCATGCCAAGTAACAAAGCCTATAGGCTCAGGAGTGGGCAATTATTTGGGCTGGAGGACCACTTCATGTATGACTGATGAGCTGTTGAAGACCAAGGACGGAGAGGGTGGGGGGAAGGGACAGGAAGATGCTAATTGATCCTATCCAGCCTGAGGAGGGAGGGCTATACCCTGCACTGGTCTGCTGCAGCTGGGGCCAGGCCACAGACTCCTCTACCCCCCTGCATCCAAGTCGTTTCCCCCCACCTGTTCCTGTTGGTGCTGTGTAGTTCTGGCACTGCAGCCACCAGGCCCACATCAGACAGTGTGCGATCCAGTGTGCTGAGTAGCTATCCTGAGTGTCTACCACATTGAGCTGCTGCTGCCACTCTGCGCCAG